ACTAGAACATCACTAGAACATCACTAGAACATCACTAGAACATCACTAGAACATCACTAGAACATCACTAGAACATCACTAGAACATCACTAGAATATTTAGAGATAACTAGCAAAAAACTAGCGTGAGCTACGTCAGTGTTTCTAATGAAACAGTTGATAAAAGGGTAAATTATACACTGTGAAAAGATAAAAAATCTTATTGACAATTTGGACGCTAGTCATTCTTCGGAGTAAAAGAGGACTAAGCATCTGAAACGTCAGTTTTTTCATCTTTTCACGGTGTTAAATTTACCCTTTTATCATTACTATAATATTTACTTGGGGTAAAGTGAAGTGGGATAAAGTAAACTAAAGGCAAAAAAAATTACTCATTATGAAGTTAAGGAAAAATTTGGGTCAAGTTGGCATTGCAATGATGCAGWTGAATTGTTGGACTGTTTCTGGTGACAAAATAGATACCATCTTGGAAATATGTTCCTTTACAGTGTCCTAATCCATTGTAATGACAACTCAACCCATTTTCTCCTCAACTCGGAATGGCTTATATGGTGTGTGCCACTAGTGTGCCACCTCTCACCAATGCAACCAGGGTTTGAATCAAGGGCTTGGTGTTGTATGTCAGTAGAGTTGTTTGTGGGTTAACTCCTAAAATAATCTTAAAGCCCTGCTTACACTGGCAATTTTTGAGGCGATTTTTGCTGCGATTTTTGTGGCAATTTTTGAAAATATAAAATCTTTTGTCTCATCCTTCAAAAGAGACATTCGTCTAGGAAAATCTTGGTATCCTGAAAAAAACTTTACAAGTAAATTCTTAAGTAAAAAATTGCCGCCAAAATCGCTAGTGTAAAACAGGGCTTAAGAGGGAGACCTAAACTCTACTTACATTATGCCAAGTGGTGCAGGAATTGAAATGGAAATCTCAAGGGAGAGATGCAAGTGTACACCTGCTACACCACCCTTGATTCCATTAAATCCCTTACATTCAACTAGCATATGCACAAAACTAGATAAAGATATGTTAAGGTGTATACAGACCTGGGATGCCTTTAGAATCATCTGTGTGTAGCATCTCAATAATCTGGCTTGTTTTAGAGCCAGGTGCGGCACATGTATCCAGAACCTGGGAAACCATAACTCTGACACTTAGAGGGACTTGACTTGAATCGCCACTACATGGTGAGCTTATAAAGGATAAGGGACCCACTGGATAAAGGACCCACTGGAAAAAGGACCCACTGGATAAAGGACCCACTGGATAAAGGATCCACTGGATAAAGGACCCACTGGATAAAGGATCCACTGGATAAAGGACCCACTGGATAAAGGATCCACTGGATAAAGGACCCACTGGAAAAGGACCCACTGGAAAAGGACCCACTGGATAAACAACCCACTGGATAAACAACCCACTGGATAAAGGAGCCACTGGATAAAGAACCCAATGTAAAAAGGATCCACTGGATAAAGAACCTACTGGATAAGGAACCCACTGGATAAAGGACCAACTTGATAAAGGACCCACTGGATAAAGGAGTCTTAAGACAGTGATATTTACTGAATAAAAAAATGATGATAGTAATAATACCTTATGTCCTGGCTGAACATCAAGGAGTAGAGGTGGTATCATACTAACAGCTTCTTGCCTACTGATATTACCCTACAAGTATAAAACACCTCTATTATGAGGTCACATGAACTTGTTGGATCTGGCGTGTTAACTTGTTTTGAAAATAATTAAAACTAATATTAATTTCTCATAGTTTTGTTTTGCGCGATGAAATTAAGTGACAGAGGAAGGACCTATGAGCCTGGAAAAGCTCTTGACCTCAACTTTAGAAGAGCTATTATTGAGGAGATTTTGAGAAGTGTCACAGGTTATTTTCCAGGCTCTGTATATTCGACATTAACTTGGTGCTCCATGGTCTTAACAAGTTCACACGCCAACTGCAAATAGTTTACGTGCCAAAAAAAACATCCTTTTCACCTGATAAAACAATGCTTTGGGGCTTGGGATTTTATGACTTTAAACGTTTCTCGACCCACTGAAATTAGGCAATCAGTTTGTTCGAATGGAAATGATGTATATTGAACTGAAAATCCCACCCCAGCTACACCTTATTTAACAGTAGTGAGAGGCAACTCACACTCAAATTTGACTGGACAAGTTCCAATTGCCCTATGAYGTCACTGCTTGTTTATGTAGGGGATAGAATTGCCAAATCCAATAGAAAATTCAACAAACTTTGCTCCTAGCTAAACAGTTTAATCTAAAATGGCCTGGTTTCCAGATATAATATGTGATAATATGTACTAAAAAATATTCTGAGCGTTTGCTGGCTATTCTACTTCTCTTCATGGATTGATACGGGTTTTAGAACAATTTTCGGTGAATTTGAGTTGATTTGACCCCATTTAGACAATAGATTATCGAAGATTGTTTTGATGTGACATCATAGTGAATTAGGGCAATTCCAGCCGTTATTTTTACCCCTGGGTGTAATCCTTGATCCAATTCAGCCGTTATTTTTACCCCTGGGTGTAATCCTTGATCCAATTCCAGCCATTATTTTTACCCCTGGGTGCAATTCTTGTTCATAAGTGACTTACACATTCAGTCTCTTGAACAAGAAAGTAGTGAAACTTCTCCATGGTMGCCGACTTCCTTAAGAATTTACGAGACAGGTTTACTTGCCAAGCAAGTTCATCTGGATACCTGGTGGAATAATACAGTATAGAAAATAATAAATAAATAATAATAAAATGACTGCAATTTTCATAAACATGCRAACTCTGTGTCTATGAGCTGCAAGCTGAAATTTGGTTTTTCGCTGCTGTCAATCAAACCTAAGTGTTCTGTCAATCCCCAAGTGCTTTATAACTCCACACTCTTATAAAATACAAATTTCAGGAATCAGGAATAAAAACTGAAAGTATGCGTGCGTGCTGTGTGCTCTCATAAAGCATGCGCTCCCAACCAATCAGAATTCAAGATTTAGAACAGTTATTTTATAATTCCATTTAGTTGCAGATTGCCCAGGTCTCAAACTAACAATGTTTTTTGAAATAGGTTTTTTTAACAGCTTTATTGGGAAACTAATATTACAATGTGTTGAATAGAAAAAAACTAATAGTTACCTAGAAAGGAAAGTCACTTACGGGACATGAGACCCATGCGAGGTGACCACCTCATGAAATGTTGAAATAACCAAA